TGTCCCCTCACTAATCATTCTGATAGTTGACTTTGTAACGAAAGCGCGTCATTCGCGCCAAAGCATACCTAATGTCTAAAAGTTCGTTATATTATTACAGCAGTTATTCACTTAAATAGTTCTCTTGCCCTTAGTGTCTACACTAAAATCCAAACATTCGCATTTAGTAAGATAGAGGAAAGATTTGTATTTTTGTATGTAACTAATAAACTCGAAAACTAATAGACCGATTTCAAAACTTCTTTTGTTATGAAAAAAACTTTATTAACACTGAGTGAGCTTGACTAAATTATTACTAGATTTTCTTTATTAAAATTACTAAATGCAAATGTTTAGATGGTTTGTTAGAAGGTATCTCCAATGCAGCTTCATGGAACTTGATGAACATAGTCTGGAAGAACACATAAGCTACTTATTAAGTTTTTAATTCTGCGCAGACATATTCGCGGGGAAGAAGTAGTTTTATATATTCTTATTAATTACAGAATACCTTTAGAACAAACAGTATTAAATTGTAAAATATACGCACCGCAAGAGAAAGTGGCGACATTTTTATCTCTGTTGCCGGAGCCTCCCACAGACAAGGCAATACGATTGGCCGTCAACGATCTCATTGATTTAGGTAATATTACCTTTTGTCTTGGTCTATAAAAGTATTTTTTCATACTATTATATTATATAACTTATCCTTATAATTAATATTAGGGAACTTACCCATTCTACGTGACCTATTTCTTTAGTTTTTTCGACCCCTCCCTCCATTAGGTGACCACTACGTGATTAAAATGTGAGCCCCCCGCTCCTGTGACTGACCGTAGTATTTTAAAGACTCCGCTCCCCCCTCCCTAAACGGGTCACGTAGTATGAGTACGTTCCCTTATCAGCTCCCTATACGTCCCCACTGAGAGGCTTGAAGCCTACCCTAAGCTAGTGACTACGCCATAGTCAATGGCCCAGTGCGGGTTGACTTCACACGTATCTTTGAATTTCTTCACATATATGTGCAGCACGATGTATTCCTTCATCGTAAGAACGTCGGATAAATGTACATATGTAAATCGTAAAACACGTTGGTACATGACGGGATTCGGCCCAAAGACCTGCAGATTACGATCAAGTGCTTAAGCACTGGGCCATTGATGATTATCGAGCGTCGGTGGCTTAGGGGTTAAGCTTTTGACTTTTAATCTGCAGGTCATGGGTCGAATCCCGACATGTACTAATGTGTTATTCGATTTCCGATTTACATGTGTACATTTATCCAACATATCTTCGGTGATGGAAAACATCGTGATGCTGCACATATTTGCGAAGAAATACACTAACTAGTCACTAACTTAGGGTAGGCTTCAAGTCTCTCAGTGTGGACGTATAGTGAGCTGATAATATTCACATTTCTTGAATCTATGTGTACTTATTTCCAATCTACAGTAATATAAAGCGGATGTTTTTTCCAGGGGCATTATCGCAATCAGAGAAATTAACTCGTTTAGGCATACTGTTATCCAATATGACGTTACATCCACGTTTAGGCAGCAGTTTGTTACATTCAGTTGTGTTAGGCAATACATTAGCTACAGCAAATATAGTCAGCCATTGTTCTGATAATGTAGAGTTATTCAGTAATGCACCAGACAGGAGAGAAGGTAAGTTAAATTAACAAAAAGTTTAAATATTACTAATATGCACAGTGTCAAATCATATGGTGGAGGGTATCAAATTGTAAGAAAAGTTACAAAGGTTAATGTAACTTTTAAACAAAAAGAGTTGGATTTTTTTTAGTATTTTTCTCCGTGTAGTTATCGTTCTGACTATACACCATTACTGTTTTATCGTTGAATTTTCCGCGTGTCCCAAAATATATATAAAATTGTCGTGTCACAATTTTCGTTCCCATACTCCTCGGAAACGGCTCGACCGATTCTCATGAAATTTTGTGAGCATATTGAGTAGCTCGGCCGACATCTATTTTTAATCCCGTGCGGACGGAATCGCGGGCGACGGCTAGTATATTATGTGTTTATTTCCTTAGAGATACGTGAAATTAAACGTAAATATTCCAACAATTCCGATCATTCCGCGTTCCACTGGATACAAGATGAATATGAAAGGACACTAAAAGAAGAAGGCTGGAGTGGAGTCAACGATTGGTGCGAGAAACACGGACTAAGGAAAGATAGGCTGAATTACGTTAAATGTAAGTAAATTAATATATTGATATATATAACTAGCGGACCCGACAGACGTTGTCCTGTCTACACGTCTTTAATTTGAATAAATTGTGAATCTTAACCATTCCCAGATCCCCTTGAACACACACAAAAAATTTCATCAAAATCGGTCCAGTCGTTTGAGAGAAGTTCAGTGACATACACACTCACAGAAGAATTATTATATATATAAGATTTGACTGTCTATATGTAAGGCCCTTTTAAATTTTCCAAACCTAACGATTTTAGTTGCTATGTGACTTACGTATATGTGTCATACCTAAAGACGCTACAATTTTTAAAATGGCGACGCAAATCTTAACAGTTTACATGTCGCTTTGTCTGTATTGACAATAGACGAATCACATCGAAGATTTAACGTTGTATTTTAGTTGACTGACATCAAAATCTCCTTTTAAAACATGACGATATGTTCAATAACATCAAGTACAGTCACGTTGGTTGTCGGTGTATCAATATTTAAACACATTCATAAGACCATAAAGAGCGTCAGTGGCTCAGGGGTTAAGTACTTGACTTGGAATCTACAGGTCTTAGGTTCCAATCCCGCCATGTAAAATGTGTTTTTACATATATACTTTTATCCAGAGTTTTTATCATGACATGTGTGAAATTAACCAATCCGCACTGGGTCAGAGTGGTTGACTATGACCTAGTCAGTAACTAAGGGTAGGCTCCGAGCTCCTCAGTGTGATGGAGGATAGTGTTGATGCATATCTCCAGTCAAGTTTATACATTCCAGCGATATCCAACCTACATTTGCAACAATTATTACAATCCAGTATCATAGTGGCTCACCCTGATGTGACAGAGTTGACGCGTTTCTCTGACATAGAGGAACTGTCAGCTGGAGCGTTACTGTCAGGTGTCAACTCTCTGTTGGTGACAAGGAGACATGTTCGTACTAAGGGCAAGCTTAGCACTGCTGTTGAATTGTTTACTAGGTAATGTACCTTGAGATAAAATTTAATATAATAACTAGCTGTTGCCCGCGACTCCGTCCAAAAAAAACATAATTTGTACCCTACCTGTTCTTCCAGACTATGTTCTATATGTAGTTCAGTCGTTCTGGAGATACCTTCAAAAAACATCCATCGATCTTAACTTCCAGAACGGCTGAATCGTATAGACGTAGAACACCGTCTCATAGAACTCATAGCCTATTTATTATTTTTTTTTATTTCGGGCAAGCAGTCACGGACAACAGCTATATGAGTATAGTTTAATTTAAAATTAACTTTTCAGTTCTGGTGAGAGAGCCCATATCGGCAGTGAGAGTGTTAACTATGGTATTAAGAAGAGAAAAGCCAAAACACAGTTACTAGCTTACTTTGGTGGTTATCATTCCACGGAGCGACGAGCTCTGGTAGTTTACAAAACGACGGTGGTATCACCACAGGCTGTACTACTCTTCTGCAATGGTGATATAGAAATAATGGTCAGTGTCTCTTTCTTGCATACTAAATTAGAACGAGACAACACCTTTTGTTATTCCCTAATATAAGAATTTGGTATAATACTGTCTCTCTCTTACATGGTAATTAAGAATGAGACAAGTTATTGTATATTGTTGTACAACAACAATATACAATAACTTGTCTCTTTCTGACATTATTGTGTTGAATGAAACAAATGCAGCTTGTCTTACACTATATCTCATATTTGATAATGTTACTATTGCGTTCTTCTTCTTATATATTGAGTTAGAACGAGACAATATAATATGTTATTTTTTTTACAGAGATCTGAAGAAAATGAAGATACTGCAGTATTAAGTCTGCCAAAACATAGACTACGTATACATGTGCCAGCCGAGTAAGTTTTTTTTTTCATATAACAGGGAAGTAGAGCCCGCGAAAAAGAAAGTAAGGTTTAAATAGTCTTTAAAATAAAAAAACTTTTTTAGATTTTTTACTATAGTGGCAGTATAACTTAATCCTTTGTCAGAAAAAAAATTAAATGTCAACCGATCTGTCACATCTGATATATTTTTTTTATATTATAAGATGGCAAACGAGCGAGCGGCCACTTGAAATCGCTGAAACAGCGAAGTGACCGTTGCCCATAGACATACGCAATTGCATATGCGTTGCCTACCATTAGTCTAGACGGAGGAGAGGATGCATGGAAAGGGAAAATATTTTGTTTCTTATCCGGAAAGTCCCCTTCCACTTCCCATCGTTTCCTTATAAGAAAAACTGTGGGAAGAGAAAGAGGACTGAATTAGGCCTCCGGGACGCACACTCATCAGACGAAACGCGGAATAGCTTTCACTTGAGGCGTGTCTTCTGTGTGGTCCTGGTATTTCACCAGGCGTGCCGGGACAATTCTCTCTACCACTCTCTCTATATTGTTTTTAATATGACTGTTTTTTTTTTAATTTACAGTCAAGCTGAGAGCATAATCAAAGCGCGAGAAATGCTTGGGAAGACATTCAAATATTATATCGAAAGAGATTTAAAATCTATAACTTATGATCAGGTTACAAATATATCAAGATTCAAGACCAGGTTGGTCAAGGCGGTCGCAAGAATACTCGTTGAAGCAGATAACGAAGATACCAACAATATAAATGATGAAGATTACAGATAAATAATTAATTAAAACAAAAGGTTTTTTATTAACTAGTACACATAATATTAAAGAAATGTAATTGGTATTCTTAGTACTTCTTTTCGAATTTTTGAAGATTTAATTGTATTTAAATACATAATTCTACAAAAAAAATTGTTCGCAACAATAACTGTAAACGATTATTTTAATTTATAGACCTCAACATTTCAAATAAACCTAAACAACCTTATAAAAATATAAATGAGAGTATAATTTTTAATTATTTCTGTGAAGATTGGGGAATGGAGTACGGGAAACCCGTCTATTAATTTTCTCTATTTAAATATTTTTGTGTACATAGTGTCAATCCTATATAATATATACAAATGTTGGACTTTCTATTCATTTTACTTTATCACTAAGGCATATAAAACGAAACAACAAAATGTAAATTTTAATCTTATCTATAATTGAATTTACATCTGTGAAAATTTTAATTGGTTTCAATCAAAGTGACAATGTCATTTGTCACCAATCAAATCACTTTCAAAAAGTGTGGGAACTGGAGGGAAGGCATTACTTATTATTCAATCAGTTTTAGTTTAGTTTTTCCGCTTGCATTAAAGGGAGACGGCCGCTTATTTACATATATAAATATTTGCTAATACAAGCAATCTTTAGTGAGGATATATTTACGTCGGAGCACAAAAACCGGTCATTCAGTATTAGTAGATTGGTTTACCTCGTCTAACGTGTGACATTGCATTCGGTCTTGCAAATGTGTTAATGATATTTATATTGTGAATATCTGTGTGTAAATTCAAGTTAAAACTATAACAATGCGCATAATCGCCTTTATAATTATCCTGTTCGGATTGTGTTATACTCAGACGAATATAAATCAAGCGAATCTTCATCATGGTCTCACGGAGAGAATTGGCAATTTTTCCATTGAAGTTCTTTATCATACGACCACGATGCAAAAGCAAGTTGAGAATCTTGTGATGTCTCCGTTTACACTATGGACAGTTTTAGCTGTAATTGCTGAAGGTGCTTCGGGTGAGACATTAAAACAAATAAGTCATGCAATAAGAGTCTCGCCAAAATTGAGAGCTAAAACTAGAGAAGATTTCCGCAACATCGCCCAATATCTTCAAGTAAACACTTCTACAATAGACTTAGAAAAGTTTAATGCAATTTTCGTTGATGAAAAAAAGTTGCCACTCAACGATTTTATTTCTATAGCAAATCAATATGATACTAAATTGGTAAAACTTAATTTTACTGGCAGTAAGACATCGGATTTAATAAATAGAGCTATTGATAATGTGACTCATGGGAAAATACCACATTTAACTGATCCTGGTGACTTTGGTGAGACGCAAATGATTTTGACAAGTGCTTTGTACTTCAAGGGACAGTGGACGGTACCTTTTAACAAAAGTTCTACAACAAAACAACCTTTCTATGACAGCCACAGTAAAAAGATGGGGGAAGTTAACATGATGTACAATAGACATAACTATCCATTTGCCAACATATTGGAATTGAACGCTAGAGTCATAGAAATACCTTACGGAAAGGAGAACCGTTTATCCATGCTAATTATGCTTCCTAATCCAGGTTTCTCTCTACAAGACATGTTTTTAAACTTCAACAATGTCCCATTAGATACAATATTTGAGAATTTAAAATTATCGACTGAAGAGTACGGAGATGAAGAAGTAGATTGCTTTATTCCCCGTTTCAAGATCGAATCAAGTCTAGATTTAACTGAAACATTAAAAAGACAGTTAAATATAAAAGATTTATTTGATGAATCTAAAGTTAGTTTACCGTTCATGTCAAGGATCCCAATGTATGTGACAAAAGTGTCACACAAGGCATCAATAGAGGTGACAGAAGAAGGTACGGAGGCAGCTGCTGTTACTGCTGCGGAGTTCACAAATCGTATCGGAGTTGCCAGGTTTGAAGCTAACAGACCTTTTTGCTATTTAATCATAGAGAAAACAACAAATTCCATTGTATTTGGTGGATTCTATCAATATCCATCTTTATTTTAATTCCTTAATTGACTATAAATTTTTTTAAATGTCAGAAACTGACCATTTGTTAAGAATATTTTTTATTTATTTTATTCTAAAGACCTTCATTTTATAATCTGTAAGACTACATTTAGATAATTTGAATTGTAAAATACTAATATTGTTACAAATCATAATTACTAGTTTCCATTGATTAAAATGCGTACAAAAATATATTTTTGTCCCCATTTTTTCAAAGAGAAAGAGAGAGGTAGGAATACATTTTTAATACATGAATTTCAATGTAACTTTACAGATTACTGCTGTTCAAATTTAGAATCAGTGAAACATAATTACAAAATACAGTTTTCAATAATATTTCCAATTGTACTTTCAACATTTTAGAGGCATTTTCTTGCCGTTGATTTAAATAATCTCAATTCTTTTGTTTTTCAAAGTATATAAGATTTAGGAAATATTTTACTATGAGTTTCCATTGTTAAAAAAATGTACAAAAACACTTTTATCCATTTATATATAACCTTTATATATTTAATCTTGAGCCTAAAAGATAGGCGATAAAAAGCCTAATTTCTGTCAGTGATATTATTTATAATATATAGTGACATCTCAAAAATCTTCAATGAAAAACTCTTTTATATAATTCTTAAAGATTTTTTACATGTATTTTGCAGTGGAAACATATGATAAATTTTGATGCTTGCTAATTTCAAATAACTAAATAATTTATAGTAAGTTTAAATGTGTTTTGTATAGATATGCTAATAATTAACTAATTTATATAAGCTTTTTATGGAACTGTGATAAATTTTGAGATCATAAAATTACAATTAAGACAATTTAATAAAAATAATAGAATAAACTAACTTGTTTTATTTATCTATAGCTAGCTGTCACCCGCGACTCCATGTAGTCTATGTGTTCTTCCAGATTATGTTCTACATCTATGCCAAATTTAATCAAACTCCATTGAGTCGTTCCGGAGATACCTTGTACACATCCATCCATCTAAACATTGGCATTTGTTATATTAGTCAGATTAATAAAATGATGAAATAATAAGCAATGTCAGTTTACTATCACATTAGACATATTATTACCATGTCCTCAGCGGTATTTCCAAAGAGTAACAACTTAGGGCCTTCAAGAAAAGAGCGTACCCCTTCCTTAAAGGCCGGCAACGCATCTGTGGTTCCTCTGGCGTTGCGGATGTCCATGGGCGTCGGGTCAAATAATATTAGGCAATGCGTTGCTCGTTTGCCCCCTTCTATAAAAAAATATAAACTGATAAATAGTAAGCCAAAGGAATGTCTTCTGACGTCTCGTCTAAAATGAAAGACAAGAATGACTATCTTTATATATATAATTCTTCTGTGAGGGTGTATGTCACTGAACTTCTCTCAAACGACTGGACCGATTTTGATGAAATTTTTTGTGTGTGTTCAAGGGGATCTGGGAATGGTTTAGATTCACAATTTTCATCAAATATTAACTTCATATTAATTTATTCAAATTAAAGACGTGTAGACAGGACGTCTGTCGGGTCCGCTAGTATTTTTCTAAGGCTAAAGCTGTTTTTCTAAGGCCATTGAGCTGAGCCAGTCTAAGAGCAAGGTAATAATTAAAATTGAAACATGTTTCTTTAATATTTGAAATTAGTATTTTGAAGATAAAGAAGTACGATCATAATATTGTAATTGTTTGCTTTTAAAATAACTTAAAAAAATCAGACAAGACAGTGATAACAATGTCAGAATTCTGAATAAAAAAATCAAAGGTCAACAAGCAAGCAACGAGTGTCATCAAACCGGATTAACAAGTTTTTTCATTTTTTTTATATTTTATCAATATCAGTTTAGTTATTTTAAGAACTCAAAGTAAACACGAATATACGTTTATTCTTATTTTTGTATAAAGCTGTCGCCCGCGACTCCGTCCGCGCATTATAAAAATGCTATTGGTGGCAGCGTTACATAGCCTAAAGCCTTCCTCTGTAAATGGACTATCCAACAAAAGAAAAATTTTTCAAATCGGACCAATAGTTCCTGAGATTTGCGCGTTTAAACAAACTCTTCCGCTTTATAATATTAGTATAGTCATTTTACAATCACAGTACGCTTCGCAAAGACCTCGATTAGTTCAAGGAAAACCCCGTGTTTTATATACACTATACTAGTCCTAACTAATTAATTATTATTTGATAAACTTCACAAAGTCGGAACAAATTTCCTGGTGACTTTGACAAATGGTTGTAATCCTTATAAATATGAGTCACTAACTTGTAAATACGTCTACAATAACATAACTTCCAATGACGTCAACAAAAACCTTAAAAATGTAAAGCTTAACTGTGACTTTGCAAGTTAATTGATGACCCGGAAATATATGTTTAAAAAGAAAAGGTCACAACGTTGGTTTTTGAGACCAAAATCTCTGTATAAAACATATCGCCATTCCTGTCATATCTTTGACAAAACATAATATGTTTTAAACAAGGATTTGGTCTCGAAAACCTACGGTAAGACAACAACGCAGCTGTAGCTCTTCTGGAACTGTGAATATCCATTATCAAATCGACTAAAATTAGACGATCAGCTGATCTTTTGCTTTCACCTAAAATATGTAAAGTGTATCGCAGGGGCAGTGGCACTTATCGTTGTTTTCTGAAACCAAAACACTGGATAAAACATCTATGTCTTGTCAAAGATAATCACAGTAATACGATATGTTTTAAACAGAGATTTTGGTCTCAGAAAACTACGGTAAAATTTCCTTGGTCACTTCACAATGTCATGTAACACAAAACTATAATACTGGACTCATCTAGAGACCTAAATGTTCATCAAACCATGTCCACCTTGGCATCATCTGTTGCATTGTGAAGCTGTCAACCTTTCCCATACAACAATGGCCACATAAAAAATGGCGGATGTTAATCATGTTATCTGTATCCGTCATGTTGAAAATCGTTGTGATCCTAATTCGATAATTATTTGAATTAAACCATGAAATTGTTCTATGCATTTTACTCTGAGTAACCTTGTAACCAGACTGCCAGGTACCATCCACACCTCGATGGCTGGCAATCCACAACTGTGCAGTTTTCGCGAAACTTCCTGCCTTGCACAGCCGCGTTGTGGTCTGTCTTCGGCGGTATTTCCAAACCGCTACGACTTAGGGTCCTTCAAGAAACGAGCATATCACCATCTCAAAGGCCGGCAACGCATCTGCGATTCTTCTGGTATTACAGAAGTTTATGGGCGACGTTGAACACCTTGATGTTGCCGCTGTTTTTATTTATAAGTTGTCAAACAAGTAAACGAACACCTCATAAGAAAAGGGAAAGGAAAGACTGAAATTGGTACTCCGCTTGGCCGGATTTATGAGTTATCGAACCTTAAACAAAGCGTTAGTAACTAAATTCAGCAATTACAATTTACATTTACTTTTATTTAAATAACCGAAAGTATTCGTTTTCTCAACAATGTTTTTAATAATACAAATTCTATCACGTTTTTATAACATTTTCCTGGGAAAAACCGACGTTAGGTTTCTACGCGTTATGTTCAATTGATTGAAGAATGCGTCATTCGTTACGTCATGATTTGGGACAATTTGCGCTTGATTAGTTACAACAGAGATCCGACTTTTTATATATTTTATTCTCGATTATCTGTTAAATATATATATATAAAATTATCATAAATTATTGTTTGTAATATATTTTTTACCTTGCAAATTAATTATTATGAAAAACATTTGCTGTAATCGAATGTTTTTCCTGCTTATAAGTGACTTACTACATTGTCCTTTCAACCAATAGACTAGAGCAGGTTACCTTGAACTCTTTTTGAATCTGATCCCAGATATGCGCAGGTTGTATCACGATGTTTTCCTTCGCCATAAAACGCGTGAAAAATGTAGATATGACATTCAAAAAACACATTGGTACATGATGATTTTTTTTTTGTCATAAGGTGGCAAACGAACGAACGGCCACCTGAAATCGCTGAAATAGCTAAGTGACCGTTGCCCATAGACATATGCAATTGCATATGCATTGCCTACCTTTAATCGACGGAGGAGAGGATGCACAGCAAGAAAATATTTTCCCTTTCCATGCATCTTCTCATCCGGAAAGTCCACTTCTACTTCCCATCCTTTCCTTATAAGAAAAAGGGTGGGAAGGGAAAGAGGACTAATTTTGGCCTCCGGGACACACACTCATCAGACGAAACGCAGAATTTCTTCCACTTGACGCCTGTCTTCTGTGTGGTCGTGGTATTAAAGCGGGCTCTACCACTGTTAGAATGAAAATGTACAGATTTCGGTCCGGTCCGGTCAAGCACTTAACAATTGCGTCACCGACTCTCAGAATAAAATATGTGAATAAAAATCTTTGTAATAATTTGTTGACAAACAACCTTATGAGTTGAAAGACTTAGAAAATATAATAATTACAGTTGATTTGTTATGCATAATCCTCACTAAAGTTACCCTTAGTAATCGCCTAACATTTTTGAATGCTTATATAACGAAAGTGGTGTAACTCGACTTTTTTTTCAGAGGGGAATGCTTTATGCATACTCCGCGCCCCGGGGGGGACGCGGTAGTTATGTGGGATTCTCCTCCATAGCGGAGGCATACCCACTAAACCCCTCTGTTCCTCCAACGCATTGAGACGGGACCACGGGCACGCTTTCGCTCTCGTCCGCGGCGGTGTAACTCGACTTGGAAATAGTCATGTATCCCATGCATTATACATACTTTGAAAACACTTTTCACCGTTAACAGGTTTAGAGAAATCAAAATATTTTTAAAGTTAACTGTTTCTATGTTCATTTAAGCTAATTTATTTAGATAAGCTGCAAGGTGCATGTTAAACGGGTTTTGTGAAATCTCTGGTGTTGATAATATTAACGATCCCGCATTTCAAATTTGAATTTTAATCACCAAAAAATACTCGGTACAGTCAGCAGCATAATATTATATTAGTTGTTTTAGACATTATTAGAATCATTTGGCGACAATGACGCGCTTTCGTTACAAAGTCAAGTGTCAGAATGATTAGTGAGGGGACATAAACGTTGACATTTTAATAAGGCTAGTGTTGTGCCGAACCACCGACATAGTGTCGGTTTTTCTTCCTAACAGTTACAAGAAACACTCATGCTACAAAACTTTAGAAACTTATATAGATCTTCGGTTTCAAAAATGTGCAAGTATTCATTGTTAAAAACATATTATACACGTATATACGTGCTTTTTTGTAAATTGAAATTTATGAAGCTTTGTGCTATTATGCTGACTGTACAGAATGTTTTTCAAAGATATTTTTTTTTGTATATTTCGATTGTAAAACCCACGAATGAATAGCGTAAAAAGTGAACAAGGAAACAATTTAAAGTTTCTAGTTTAGTTGCTGAAAGTTATATCATCAAAACAACAAAATTTCTCAGTAATCATAAAGATGTTATTCCCCTTTTGTATTAAGGAAAACGTAATCTACATAATACCAGGAACTACAATAAATATGTTCAAGTGTTATTTCGACAGCTTATATAAATAATAAATAATAATAAAATTCTTTATTGGGCAAAGAATAAACATTTTTCACAAAATTATGTGGGCTGTGTCCGGAACTAGCTGAAACTCTGTTTCAGGAGACAGCGCCTTCTTTTCTCTTATATATGTTCCCAAGTGTGCTCGGAGCTAGCGCGTCGTCAGCCGATAATTTAGGCTAGATTTACATAAAGGGGAGGGAGACAATGTAGTTAGCTAGAGATTGGGAAACTGATATGGTTTTTAAATGATCTATGTTGATTTATAGAGATTGTATTTAGTATTTCTAAGTAGTTTAATATACCTGTTTTAAATTTATACCGTGGGCTTATACGGCTGTACTTTTATAGAACACATGACTAATTTTTACATCAGTGGAAACACAGCCTGTTTTTATGTTTTATTAATCTGTGTATTTGCTAAATAGATATACATATATTGTTCTTGATATTACGTTTATTTTAATAACATAATTTGACGATATTTGATTATATTTTGGCAATTTAAATATTACTAAATAACTAAATATCTTAATTATAAAATCTATATTTATATTTAATTAATAATACAAAGAAAATCTACAAGCATTTATTTCTTTGCAATATAACAAATAATTCTACAGTTTTAAGAAATAATCATTTATTTATGCAATATTTTACTGTACACAATATTTAACAAATATGAAAATTATAGACCGACAAACTTATCCGACAATGTCAGGCAAGGTGTGACAAAGTATGTCTGTAGAGACTGACAAAATCATCTGACCCGATGGGCATAATAAGCAAAATTATGACAGCTCGCTAGCGCATTCCTGTCAATGACAAAAAAGCGTCAACAGATTATCAGATAGGCAATTGAAAATGACAGTTTTTGTTTCGTTCCGATTAAGACAAAGTGCATTCGTTTCGAAGCGATTTCATAACGAACTTCAAAAAATTGTAAGAAAAAAAGAAAGCAGACTTATTTAAAAACCACTCGCATATAAAAAAACATACTGAAAAAAAAACATTCTTCAACAAAATTGACTAAAAAGTAACAAAATTATCGTTATTTCGGAGTCGGTGTCAGCCCGATGTCTTACACCTATTTACGTTTAAGGTAGACCTAGATCTCCTTCTTTTTGTAGTTGGCTAAAAATATATAGAACTGGCGATAACTTTCGATAACTCACGTGATTGTCGCACGTCAGGTTCATACATTTTTGTAAATCGCTATGGAATCGCTACGAAGCAAATGCATTTTATCTCGACATCTATATTATAAATTCAAATTTATATTACCGCTACAAACGGCTACAGAGCGTCGAAGTGCCGAAAATCAAATAGGCACGTAATACTTATAGCCAGTCTGTTTATAGCTGTCATACTGTTGTCACTTCGTTTACCATTTATATATGCAAAGGTTTTACTTTGTGACAAACCTAACCAAGATAGTAGCGTCTTTCTCACCGGGTCAGATAAAGTAGTCGGACTATTATTATTTTCTAAATGTATCGGAATATAGCGTGGATTTTTACTGTCTAAAGATTTGTACAAAAAACATATAATAATTCTCACTTTTTTAAAATAAAAATCATGATTTCTTTACAAGTGGAAACTCACTATAAGATTACTTTTTAAACCGGTTTAAAGGGCTTTCACTATTAATGTTATGCATCTTAATTATATACAAATTATTCGATCTCGTGTGCTTTTTAATTGAAATAATCTTGTTTAATATGTTTCTATTTGAGTTTCCATTGATAGCAACTATACGGAGATATTTTTAATACACCTATTTATTTGGAGGCCTTGATTTTCGATTCTAGAATTTACTAAAGTTGACTAGAACACTATAAATAAAGCTATTTACATTTTCTTAACTAAAATTTACATACAAAAGAATAATAATATCATTTAAATATTAATTAAACATTACCTAATACACGTAGAACTATAAAAATTGAAGTTTTATACATAATTATATTTTTTTTTATAATGAATAAGCGAAAGCTATAAAAAAATTCCAACATGTTTTGTAAAATTTATTGGAATTTTTTTATACATTTGAAGACTCATTAAAGTTATTTCTTGGTTGATGAACATTAAAAAGATTTAAAAGTGATCTACGGAATTTTCATATTACATTATTTTGTGCTGTCATTTATGGTCCTTCGAGCCAGATTCCGTTTCCATCTTAAAAGTTAAAGTGTGTTAACCAATTTGCATATATTATAACTGTTGCCTGCGACTCCGTCCGCGCGGAATTGTAAAACCTAATTTTTAGCCTATGTGTTCTTCCAGACTATATTCTACATCAGTGCCAAATTACAGCGTGATCCGTTAAGCTGTTCTGGATATACCTTCAAACATCCATCCATCTAAACATTCGCATTTATAATATATAGTAGGATTTAAAGGAACAGGCAGTTTAATATTCCCCTTCTCATACATATTGACAAAGTAAAGTGTACTAGAGAAGCAAAGCATTGAAAGAGAAAGATGTGGTCCCTCGAGGCGGATCAATTCTTGTACATATCAGCGAGTACCTTCTCCATGGGCGTGTGTCCAATAGTCTTGGCGAAGAACTCGATCTCGAGGAGGTGGGGGGGCACGAGACGCAGCAGCGGCAGCAGCAGCAGCAGGCGGCCGAAGCGCGCGGGCGCGGCGCCGTGTGCTGTGCGCGCGTGCGTCATCAGCATCACCTGCGCCTGGTCCTGCAGGTTCTCGATCTGCAGCGGGTCCTTCAGTCCTCGCGTCTCTACAACCATATACCTAAGCTTACAATGGGACTTTATTCTTACGCAGATCTTAAAAATGCAGTGCTGATAGGCGACCGCCCCAGGCATTAGACTGAAAGGGGCCCAATAGGTCTGCAAATTTTCTCTATCTATTGTTGAAAATAAAACGACCACTGCCCATAGATATTCGCATATACAGATGCGTTGCCTACATTTAATCGATAGAGAGGGGGCATACAGAAATAAGATAATTTCCTTCCTAAGCGTCTTCTTCTCCGCCTAATCAACCTCATCATCTCATTGTATCAATTACTAGAAAAGAGTTGGAAGGACGCTAAAATTAGACCTCCAGCATACACATTCATCGGGACTGTAGGTGAAATTCACTTGAGTCGTGCATCTATGCAAGAAATATTATTGCACGCTCTTATCACTGCTAAAATTATCTAGAAAAGGAGCTAGGATTTATCTATAGTGTGTGGTTGTAACAAAACTTACCAGATTTAAACAGTACGATGGCTTTCATGCAGGCGAACTCCGCGGGATCAACCAACACAGCGCGGTAACGAGCCAACACGTCGCGTAGACGACGCAGCGTCGCTGAGTTCACACCGCTCTCTAGAATCAACGATTTTTTATTTAACACGTTAGCTGCCATGTCGGACTATATGTCCGACAAGCTAATGTTTCAATCAGGCTGTGTCGGACTATATGTCCGACAAGTCATACTTCCATTCAACACTTCGCTGTGGCTTGTCGGACGCTTTTTAATCAAATTGTTGTATACATCGTGACCCGCAAGGCCCCGTTCAAATGGTTTTGGACAAAATTAAAAAAAAATCGTTTTTCGAAAAATCATTCTAGCAGCTAACGTGTTAAATATTGTTTTCTTTTATAAGCAGAAGACAGATATAATAACTACTCTTTGTGATGACATTTTTTTTTAATCTACTATCACTTTTTAACATTCTATGAACTCTTTGTTAACAACTGTCGCCCGTAATTCCGTTCGCGTGGTATTAAAAAAATATTAGGCTATGTGTTCTTACAGACTATATATCAAATTTCATCGTGATTTGTTCAGTCGTTTTGGAGATATCTTCAAACAAATATCTATTCTTCCATCTAAACATACATCCAAACATTTGCATTTATAATAGTAAGATAAAGAACGAAAATTGGTTGGTTTGTTACCGTTAATCTATTCATATCAACTATAAATAGGATTTGGATAATTCTTTTTGCATTTAAAAGCTCAATTATTAAGAAAGGTTATAAGGTATTTAATATCACGCTACTATTCTACTCTACTATACTATATACTATAGCGTCGGTGGCTCAGGGGTCAAGCACTCGACTTGCAATCTGCAGGTCCTGGGTTCGAATCCCGCCATGTACCAATGTGTTTTTCGATTTCCGATTTACATATGTACATTTATCCGACGTTCTTACGGTGAAGGAAAACATCGTGATGCAACTTGCACATATCTGAGAAGAAATTCAAAGATATGTGTGAAGTCAACCAACCCGCACTTGGCCAGCGTGGTTGACTATGGCCTAATCACCCTTAACTTAGGGTAGGCTCCGAGCCCCTCGGTGGGGACGTATAGTGAGCTGATGATAATAATTCTTAGGGGCTGAGCAAAGTAAAAAAAATACTAACACGAAACAAGTGAAGCTGTGAGAAAAGGTTAGTAGATATTTCATGTGTATTTTCTTTAATTTTTATTCTGTAAGTTCCTACTAATAAATTACATAGTTGCAAGAATTTATGTTTCTTTATTTTTTTACCTTGATCTGTCTGTTCGCTGCCAAAGAGCGCTGCGCATGCGGCATCTAGCGGCAGACACCATTGTATGGCGTTCAGTAAGAATAACTCTGACCAGGCTTCTTCCAGTAAGATTACCTAAAAAAAAACAAATATACTAACAACATTTAAATAAATGCTTTCTTTTTTAATTTGTTTTAATTTGTACTTCCCCAAAATGATAAGCGCCATCTTTTGGTGAGAATTAAGATTTATTTGTTCAAAATGAAAATTAATATTTCATTTCTTTGATAGATGGCGTTAAAATAGTTTTACATTAGACAAGCAAGGAATGAAAATGTTTTTTAGGAATATAGCTAGAAATTAAAGCTTTATCAAACAAATAGAAGAAAGTTAAGCATACTTGATCTCTGAAAGCCAAACTGGCAAATGAAGGCAGATTCTTAGCCCATTTAACCGCCATAAATAGAAGTCGCGCCGCTGTTTCTGCTGAACTTTCCACTCCCAACGGTCTAGAAATAAAAATATTTAAATGCATATTATTTTATTTGAATTTCATGTGTAATATTAGAAAATACTGCAACAAAGAAATTTATAAATTACCTGTATGGGGGACAGTTTTGTGGATAATTGGTTATCGCAGGCGGGGAGTAAGATGTAGAATCTTCTTCGTTAGTCACGTCGATACTGTCATCTGTGGATAAATTTAAAATGGATAAATTAGATTTAAGATGAATATTAAGCAATTTGTTCAAGTGAAATAATTAGTACTGACATCTAGTGGCGAATAGTAACAAAAGAAAACAATAGTTTTCAATTTTCATAAATAGATGGCAGTAAATAATCATTGTAATTTTTAAATTTTATTTTTGGCTATTTTAGTGTTATTTCCACTAATCTGTATAAATATATCTTTGCTTGGAGACAGCTTTTGCATTATTCCGCCTTAAACATGTCCGTTGATGTTAATAACAAAATTAAATCTCAATTATTAGTTCAAATCACAACGACCACAAACGACCATTAACGTCAAGATGGCGGAAATCAAATAGGCACAAAATACCATAGATTATAGCCTATGCGTTTATAGATGTCAGATGTTTACCGTCACTGTCAGAGTGGTGTTCATCGTGGTGGTCTCGGGAGGAGTCTGGTTGGGGCGGCGGCGGCAGCGGTGCGTAATGCGGTGACAGTAATGGATACCGCGCCGGAGACAGCGCCATCGCGAGCGACACCGGCGGTCTGCGGAAACATAATTACAGATTGCATCAAAGGAACTTCATACACAGGGCAATGCCTGTAAAACCTGACGAGCTTACTCGTTAAGGGTTACGCAATACAATGTTATAGAGATTTATCTGTCATCGCCAAGATCAGTCGCTCGCATATTTGTCAATATCATCGGGAAAAAAACTGCTGTGATTTTCCTCGTCTCTATTGACAGAAAAGACAACTTGCGAAAACAATGGAACGTTGTTTAGAAATTCACGATTGGATGTATTTAATAAAAATAAGATCGAAACCCAAACTGATTCTTTTTCTTTAAAACCTTATCAGCGATTTACCTAATTTGTTATTTCATTTTGTTTGTCTACCCAGGGCCGGAAATATAGTAAGATGTGAATGGGCCACTGTCCAAGGCGCTGGACAGAATAGAACGCCATAGGTTTGCAAATTACAAAGTATCATGTCACCTTTGTAACTTCCCCCATCCGAAAGGCATGGTAAAAAAAGTGAGGGCGTGGAAATATCACCCTAAGTGCTACGAGAGGTAAACCGTTACTGTTTTTACGCACTTTCATGAAAAAGAGATGAATTTTCAGCGAACAAAATAAATAAAACAAAAGTGTTATCACTAAATATACTTAAATTGTGTCAGAGTTCATCAAACAGAAATAAAAATACATTTCATCTTCAAAAACACCATAAGAATATCCATCCCTTAACACATTTACATAATGAATTCACTCGCGCTTTTATACAGTACTATCCACTTACTAGGATTAGATCATATTTTTTACGACTACCCACACTGCCAAATGTACGCTCGTTATTTTTTATATCTACCCGCAATGAATATGAAATTGTATTATGAAAGATATTATGAATCTGTTTATTTGGTTCATTTTTGTAACTTTGAATACTTATAAATAAACCCGTTTAGCCAACCTTATTATACTACTAGCGATTCTCGCGAATCTGTCCGAGCGGAATTAAAAAAAAACATAATTAGCTTATGCATTCTTCCAGACTATGTTCTACATCTATGCCAAATTTCAGTAGGATCCGTTCAGCCGTTCTGGAGATGCCTCCAAACAAACATCCATCTATATATACATTCGCATTTATAATATTAGTATGATTGCATTTCAATTTGTCTCACAATTTTCTTAAAACATGATATAAAGTAACGGCTGCTATGTTTAGAATTTAATGTTCTCTTGTTTAGTGTGTTCTGGCTTGATAGAAAAATAACAATAAAACATAGCTTAACTTACTCTACATGAGAGACTTTCATAGATGCAAGAGTTAGACTCTTCATACACAACGCCTTGAAACCCGGTGATTTGTCGTTGGTTTCTGTGATCAAAATTCCTGTTTCAAACATATCTTTGTCATTATCTTTGACAAAACAGAGACAAGAATATATTATAAACAGGGGTTTTATTCTCAGAAGCCCACAGTTTGGCGTAAAGACTTACGCAATACAATGTCATAGAGGTTCCGTTGCTGACATTTCTGTCATCGCCAAAGCTAGTCCCTCGCAATATGTTTGTAACGATTGTCGAGAGAAGTCACTGCGATTTTTAAGATGGCGAAACAAATCTATACAGTTTTTTTATATAAAATGGTGGCAAACGAGCGAGCGGCCACCTGAAATCGCTGAAATAGTGAAGTGACCGTTGCCCATAGACATATGCAATTGCATATGCGTTGCTTACCTTAAATCGACGGAGGAGAGGATGCACAGAAAGAAAATATCTTCCCTTTCCATGCATCCTCTCATCCGGAAAGTCCACTTCCACTTCCTTATAAAGAAAAGGATGGGAAGGGAAAGAGGACTAAATTAGGCCTCCGGGACGCACACTCATCAGACGAAACGCGGAATTGCTTCCACTTCACGCCAGTCTTCTGTGTGGTCGTGGTATTTCACCGGGCGAGCCGGGACAATTCGTGCGAAGATGTTAAAGCGGGCTCTACCACTGTTACAGTTGACATACGTCGCGTATTTCGATGAATTATGTTGCTTTGTTTGTTGTTTTAAATCGATGTCGTAGTTATTAAGTTAATCCAAAATATGTTTGTCCTGTATAATAGTATATAAAGATGAGATATATTTAAAGTGATCTATTAATATATAGGGGTACATCCCTGACGTCAAGTGATCCAACCGTGCGGATCAAGTCTCAAGCGACCGCATCTCGTCAAACGTGGGGTCGATACGGGTGACTGCGTTGACTAGGGTATACGGCATAGTATCTTCATAAATACTATAATTAATAATATAGATAATCAAGGGACAGCTTACAGTGGTAGAGCCAGTAAAATCTTCCAATAATTTGTTAGAGCGGTGAATTACCAAGACCATACTCACAAGGCAGCACAAATCTTGGAAACTCGGCGATTTTAGTCGTTAAACGACTTTAAATGACATAAAGGATCGTACACGGCACGCGTCGCCGAAATTTCTATATGTCACAACCAATTGCAGTCGTTCGCAACTTGTTTGTCAAGATTTTTTGATACTTTTTTGACAATGACTGGGGGGCGCTAGTGAGCTATCATAATTTAGTTTGTCACCCACCAGGTCACATAATTTAGTCGGTTTATTTTATGTTTAGTTATTTCAGTTATCAAAGCTCTCTCGCTTCACTGATATTTTCAGTATATGACTTCTCTTTCAGAAACTGCAACACTTTTGTTTCATTCCTTTGTTGGAGCAAATGCAGTTGAAGGATGTTTCTTGTTGCGGAAATAACAGGACTACGTGGCATATTGCTTTTAATAATAAGTTTTATTTGTTTTAATTTATTATATTTTGAATTTTAATTAGAAGTTCTAGAAATACTTTTATATAAAACTAGCAGTCGTCCGCGATTTCGTCCGCGAAGGATTGAAAGACAGTAATCGATACTGACCTACTGTATATGTTTATAAAATTTCATAAAAATCGGTCAAGCCCTTACGACAGAGTATGGTAACTAACATAGTAACGAAAGTGAACACGAGAATTTTATGTATAAGATGCACAGAATCATAACATCAAATTGATATGACAAACAGTTTTTCACAGCTAAATACTCCGATGTTTAAATTGCTATTCCTGTGTTTAAGGCAAATCTCAAGTATGTTTATATCTCGCTACCCTCCGAGCTCAAGCACCCGACGCAACAATACCCAGTACATCATAACCGGTCATCGTCCACATTGCAACTGCTCATACCCAACCTCCAGAGGCTTCATCAACCATCACGCCGGAACACGATGTTACATGTTTTAGTACAGTGTAAACTTAATTATAGTTGGTACTCACCCAAAGACTCCAACAGCAACAGCCGCCTCTCGCAGCGCTCTCTCTTGGTCCATATCTCTGAGTGCTTCAGGTCGTATGGTAGCGGTGTTTCGTGGCTGTCTCTCGTTCTGTACAGCTGTTGTAATAAATTTAATTTCATTAGCAAAGTCCTGACAGCCACGGACAGGTCGGAAGAAGAGTTATTAGTAATTCGAAATATGTTACACATCTACAGGGTGTTTGATTTCAAAAACAAGTATTGAGTGTAAATTATTTAATGTAAAAATTTTACGTAAGTTTTAAAGTAAGGTTAAGTTAAAGTAAATTGTATAGTTATGTATAAAACATGACTGTAAAAGGTACGTTGGACGTCAGAGAAGGCAATAAAATCAAATAGGAGTCCTCTGCCATCCCCTTGTGGGTGAATGGGTGGGGGTTGGGGGTGGAATCGATTGACGTTAACTAGGATGCGGTACGTGCTCTGCGATCACTTTTTTATTTAGTTTTTAAAATCGTATATTTTTGTAAAAAAAAAGGTTTTTTTTTCTCTTCTAAGCGATTGACATAAAGTTTATGTCTTGGATGTTTTTATCAACCAATTGAATATTTTTTTTTATGGAATAATGAGTAATTTGTGTTATTTTTTACTACAGAGACTTTGTTCGTGCGAAATTAAAATAAATTTAGTAAAAAATAGAGCCTATCCTAACCACCTAATCACCTGTGGATACTGTAGCTTCTCAACAGTAAAAGCATGTTTTAAGTCGGTTTAGTAGTTTTGAAGCATATTTAAGGCAAGCGATCAAATATTTTTTTTATATTATATTAGTATAGAAAACCAGCGCTTGACAAGATTCCATCTGATGATTATGTGACAAAAAAGGTACTCTCTAGTTAAACCTATCATTTGAAGTCAGGTTTTTTTTTATTTAATTCAAAGTATAAGTCATAAGCCTATGCGATGTTATGGCTTAGATTTTATTTTAACATATTATAGCATATAACTCTTGCAGCGTAATATCATCAGATAAAAAAATATAACGGTGTTTTTCACATATTACATGTTCTTTTTTTAAAATCAGATTTTTTTTTATCCGGGTTAAACTTTACCGCATTAAATGCCAACGTTATACAGAAAAGGGGGTTCGAATGAAAGAGTAGAGCACTTTATATCCGAGCCGGGTGTTACGTGACCGGATACCCGGCTCGATTCACTGCCCGGATAAAGTCGCGATCAATCATATCCGGCGGGATTTTATATTTCCGAAGATGTTATCTAGGAATACTGTCTTTTCCTATCTTTACGATATTTTATGTATGAAACATAATATAAATTTTATTATACCTCAAAATTTTACAGGTTAAAAGCGATTTTAAATTGGATTAACTCAATTAAACAACATACATATAAGCGAGTAATTACTTGAAGAATTGTTCAAGTACTGAAATAAATCTATTTATAACACTTATAACTACGGAGTTGTTTTTTTTTAATGGAGTCAAAACTCAATTTTATTGTGAATTTATTTAATTTTAATTTTACTTATTCGTATTAGGATAAATAACAAGAAAAAAATCAGTAATAAAATAAAATATTGAACTTTGAAACACTCTGTATATAATATTATTTATTAATAGTATCGACATACTAGTTAAGATAGTGGTGGAAAGTCACCCGTCCCTCTCTGCGCCGGAAGTGAGAATCAAAGATGGCTGCGGCCGGATGTGGGAGTGGCCGGCTTTAGTTAGGGGGACAACTAGTGTGTGCGAGGTGTTATCTTATTTGTATTGAAGTTAATTTAACTGAGTATTTTAAATGATTATGAAGAAAATATTAAATAGCTAAGAAATAGTAAAACAAACTTGAAATATATTTTTTGCAATACTATAAATTCAGTAAAAGTTGTAAGCAAATTATTTTTTTGGAAATAAATTTTCCTGGTTAATGATCTGCATTTTTATAGTTACAAAGAACGTTCTTTTAAATTAAACTGTACAATTAAAAAAAATTGTCTGTGAGTTTGTCAACGTTGAACAAAAAAATCTTTTTTTTTTATATATCATAAGGCGGCAAACGAGCACCTGATATCGCTGAAATAGCGAAGTGACCGTTGCCCATAGACATACGCAACACATATGCGTTGCCTACCTTTAATCGACGGAGAAGAGGATGCACAGAAAGAAAATATCTTCCCTTTCTATGCATCCTCTCATCCGGAAAGTCCACTTCCCATCCTTACCTTATAAGAAAAAGTTAGGGAAGGGAAAGAGGACTAAATTAGGCCTCCGGGACGCACACTCATCAGACGAAACGCGGAATAGCTTCCACTTCACGTCTGTCTTCTGTGTGGTCGTGGTATTTCACCGGGCGAGCCGGGCCAATTCGTGCGAAGTTGTTAAAGCGGGCTCTACCACTGTTAGACCACCACCACTGGTAGTGTACTAACAAATATCATAATTATACGGTGATAGTGTAGCTTCCCAACAGTTAAAGAATTCTTCAAATCGGTTCATTAGTTTCGGAGATAATATTAGCACAAATAAAAGACATATATTATTGGGAACTACTAAAAAGATTTAAAAATGAATGCGCCTTTTTGCAGAAAAAATAAAAAGTTCATGAAACATTATAAAATCAAAGGGATCAGGTGCAAGTTCTCATCTGCAACTCCACGAATCAAATCGAAATCAAACGAATGGGATGTATCTCTTTCACTCTTATACGAAACTACATATGCCTACTCTTTCTTTTTTTTTGCCAAATTGATTCGATATTTATCGCTTTCTAATACAATTGATTTTATACTTTATGACAAACGTGTTTAAGTTTTAAATCGATTGAACTGTATTTATAAAAGATGAACAATTGTGACAACTGAAAAATCGACCTTCACGCATTAGAAATTGGATTTATGTTCGCTAAATGTTAAAGTTATAAATCCG